CTTCTATCTCAATAGATGGCCCACGTCCATCCAGCTCTTGGCTTCTTTCCTCCTCTGTCTCCTTCGGTCCTACACTCCATTCTAATCTTTTCCTCATATTGATCACCCCTGTGAGGCTGAGGAGCCTATCAAACAACATTATGGTCGATTCGATGGCCACTGAGAAGTTAGAGGGCACTGAAAATCTGACTAGCTATGCCATGAATGACATTTCTTGAAGCTTTGCATTGATAACGGATACCTTAAAGCTGGAGCCGCCCCGCTGGGGACACGGCTCTGTTTATCTGAAGCGAATAAAAAAAATAAAACAACTGCGGTCAATCTTTCGTAGGTAAGAGTACATATTTGCATCGGAGCTCTACTTCCTGTTGTTTTTGTTGTGCAACCTCTGCAGTGCCATTGTATAGATATGTCTATTAATATTTAATATGTTTTTCTATCCCTCACTGTGAAGAGAGCTGTGTCCACAGTGTCTGAAAGATTGTCTTTACCTCCTGCTGGGTGGGAAATATGACGGAAATTGGTTTCACAGTTTATCTGTTCAATCGTTTTAGACTGTTTACCGGTGTATATTTAGGTGTTTTATCCTCGTCCCTTTGTTAGCAATACTAGTAATCTCAAATTGTCCTGTGTTTTCCTTACTGAAAGTGAAATTCAGCAATACCATGCATTATTTTCTACTCACATATTTATCTAGATTTTTGCAGACGCCTATTTGACATGTACAACACACACACACACACACAGACGCTATAACGATCTAAGGTTAATTATTTGTCAAAAGGAAAACACAGCGTCACAGAGTCATTGTTCCTCACAGCTCCCACCCACGCCACCCGACACACTCACAATGCACTTTGAAGGACAGGGGCTGCGAGGAGTTGTCTGGCTCGGTCACGTTTTCGTCATTGGACACACAGCGGTAGGGCCCCTCGTAGTACCTTCCTGCATGGGGAATAGACAGCACTAGTGTGTCTGCGAGCTGCTGGATCTTCAGTGAGTAGAAGCACCAATATCTCTCCATAACGGGACGCCAGCCATGCATGTACTGTTAAAGAGAAAGAGGGGAAGAAAAAGAAAAAGAGAGGTCTTCTTTTACATTTACTTTTCAGTAATGAAAATTCTCTGCTGCATAATACTTCTTTGAGCTTACATAAGCTCAGAGAAAATAAATGAATATGATAGTTATACACATTAGCAGTCTAAGGTTATACAGCAGTAATCACATCCCTAGTGATTTAAAAACGATTTAATTAAACATAAAAAAATAAAAGTCACGTGTCTTGAATTATTACTTTGCAGCCATCTGATTACATTTGAAATATCATATTCAGGAGGAAAAGTTACATAATCATTGTCATTACTGGGAATTACTGTGGTGGATCATTTTTAGGAGTTACATGTTATGAAGTGATAAGGTTTACTGAGCTTTTGATAGTTATAAGCAAGTTTAATCTTTATTTTGAAAAACGAAATTTAGGAACAGTAATGAATCATAGCAGTGAGCTCCTTCTCAGGTATACAAAATCTCCAACGTTACAAACAGAGCTGTGATATGCACATCGTGATATTTTTCAAGTGCACTCTTTTCCTTTTTCACCCATCTTCCTCCAGCTCACCTTGGAGTAGACCTCAAAGTGGACCTGGCTGATGTTCAGGTCGGAGTCTGTGTATAGACACTCCAGCGTGACCGTGTCTCCCTCCAAAACTGGCTCAGTTGGCCCTTTGATGACCAAAGACGCTGCATGTGGACAGACATAACAGATGATTAAGTGAGAGGTTGCGGAGGTGGGTGTACCTCCTGAGCACTGCTTTCAAAACAGTTTTCTTCCCGGAGAACCTTGGAGTGCTCATAAAAACACCACAAGCACATGACCAACAGGTTTTTCAACTTGACGGATACTGTTGATAACAGAGACTGATTCTCTTTCACTTCAGGCAAGAAGGGCTGCATAACATGGTTTACATATTTTTTCCACAAGAACTGAATGCGAGGCTGGCCTCCGCACACTCTACATAAAACATTTAGCTGCTCTTATGCGTTAGTCTCTCGATAATTCTAACAATATTTCCTGTTTCACTCTGTGTGTCGCAAGGGAAAACCTATCAGTGTGACAGAAGAGGAAAACAAAGCCTTTCCTCAAGAGAACAGATCAACTAAGAGACACAGACAAGGAGACAAACAGGCGAGCAGACACCACACGAAGCCCAGGGGCTTCAGCTGTATGAATATATTTATGAAAAAAGGAAGACCAGAACCCCGCTGAAAGATTAAACCAATATCTCATTACAGACGAGCAAATAATATTGAGCTCTTTGAGAGAACCGCATAAAAGTCCATGAGAAATATGAAAAATATTTACCATAACTGGCATGAATCAGGGAGACCACTGCAGCAAGAAGAAGCGCTTTCATGGCTGTGGAAAACAATATCAACACAAATATCTGAGAACACGTCGTGGGCTCCTGCGCACTTTCTCGAAATGAAAGTTTGCTCAGTATTTATGTATAGGAGGGTGTAGGTGTGGCTTTCGTCTTCGTGTGATTTTCAGGAAGCGCGTTCGAAGAAAAGTTGAAAATCCAGCCAGCATTTAAAAAAGTAAACAACCAGTCAACACCAAACCATAAATACACGACTTACTGAGTCTAGTTACGTATATGTTGTGACTCATTTGTCACATACACAAGAAACACTGTAAAGTGAACGCAGTGTAAACTCAGTGAACAAAACAAGGACCGCTGCTGCTGCTCCAATAATGAAATTCACTTCGCGGTGCGTCACTTGTCTCTTAGGGCGGTGGAGTCTGTCACGTCTGAACTCGTTGAGGTCGGTGTTTTGCTGCTCAAGTTCATCGGAATGTGAAAGCACTTGTGACACGTTACCGCAGAGCGTGCTATCTAAAACCGGGGAAGCACAGCGTTTTACGCTTCAATTTCTCTGACCTTTGATTGATTAGCTGTTAACCGGAGCTGAACCGCAGACTCTGTGGGCCTCAGATGCGCTGACCTACACATGTTCGAGTCATCTGAATACGCGCAGACAGCTCGTTAAAAACAATGCAAGACAGCCGAGCAAAGAGACTACCTGTCAAAATCCTATAAAATGTTATTTGCTCTCGTGTGCTGTTATGTCTCCATTTAGTAGAATGAACTGGATAAACATAAAAATCCATTTTCCCTAAAAAGCGCCCTGAGGGAGTGATTGGTAATTCATTATCATTGCCGTTTCACTGCATATGTTGTCAAACACTTCATGGTTTAATGTTTTTATTGCATGTTTTTTATTGTTATTATTAGCGATGGTGGCCGTGGTGTAAATGGGCAGTGGACATTCATGGGGTTTGGGGATATTGTGCGCAATATTTTGAGATTACTGTGTATTTGTTCACTGCGGATGAATAAAAACACCAATAAAGTAAAAAGCAACAACAAAGAAATGTTTTGTTAGATTTTTGGCCTTGAAACAACATATTACTTAAAAAAAAGAGAGACTACAGTGTCTTATAAAATTATTGAGCCACTTCTCATTACTTTATATTTTGCTGGGAAAATGGGAAAGAGGTGCAGTTGATTTATTGAAATGTACAAACATACATTAAAATAAAGCAAAAGTTTTTAAAATTAAATACATTCCTTCTTTATTCTTCAACACAACCTGAACTCTGTTCTTTGTGTTTCTATTATGGTGGGCTTTTCACTGCATTTGGTAGTGTGATTGAGATCAATTGCTAACACTTTCCAGATGGTATTGCATGGTGGATCAAAATCTGTGTTCTACTTTTCTGTGTTCATAATTCCACCAGTTTTCATACAATCCCCAAACGAACTGGCTGAAATGCAGCCCCAAAACGTGACAGAGCATCCACTATGTTTTACAGATGGCTGAGACACTCACTGTTGTATCGCTCTCCTGACCTCCACTGTACATATTGACGAGGAATGAAATTTTTCAGATTCTGATTCATCACTTTATAAGATGTGTTGTCGTTGATTTTCTGTATAAATTTTGTGTAATTTGTCATACCTCAGCCTTTTCTCCCTGTTTCACTGAGACCATTTCTGACGAGGCTTCAGTGAACAGTAGATGGTTCAACTGAAGGTCCAGATACATCTTTCCAAACACATCTCTCTTGCTGGACTTCTGTTTCTTGAGGACATGACTTTCAGATACTGTTCATATGCTGGATGAAACTTTTTGGACCCACCACCTCTTCTTTTGTCTTCTGCTTGTCCAGTTTCATCTGATATTTTACTTCAATTCAGTTTTATTTCTGCAGGGCCAAATCAAAACAAAAGTTGCCTCAAGGCGCTTTGTTTTGTGAGGTAAAGACCCTACAATAATACAGAGAAAACAGAGAAAAGTCCAACAATCAGATGGCCCTTTATGAACAACCGTGTTGGCCTGGGACAATGGAAAGGAAAAACTCCTTTTTTCTTTCTTTTTTTTTTTTTGCTTCAATGATAATATCCGTGTTAATAGTATAAAAGAAAACAAATAAAAACCAAAACAAGCACACAAGCACACAATAATCATTTGAAAATGTTCAGGTGCAATGATTGAAGTGAAAACGAACGAGAAAGAACTAAAAAAATGAAAATGAGAGAACTATTGCTCGATTAAACTTTAAAGAATTACAAGAAAGCAACTCCTTGAGAACAGAATATAAAATATATAAACATAATGTAATAATGAATAATAAATAGAATAAAATATGTATTTAAAAATATGGGTGACTCAAGACTTTTGCACTGTATTGTGCAGAAGGGAAAGGAATAAGTATATAAGTTATGTGATGAAAATATTATTATTATATTATTATATATATTATAACTAAGAATTATAACTATTGTTCGAAGCATGTAAACTTTTATTTTTTAGTAAAATTAGTTCGTGTAGATACTAAAGAAAGCAACGCTTCTTTATTAAAAGATCAATTTTTTGTTGTTGTAATTCCACGAAACATCCAGCAGGTGGCAAAGTAGAGGACCCAGGACTGCGGCGCCCACAGGAAACGGAGATCAACAAAGCGGAAGTATTGAAAGGAAACCTCGGTTATTTTTCCAGCTACCCAAAGGGGAAAGTGAGAGACGATTTTTGTGTCAAACAACAAATTTGGCATCACAGCAACGCCGAAGGATGGACAGATAGTGCTTGTTTAACTGAGTAAGTTGACAATTTAACGCACAGTTTTAAGATTTAGCCTCCATATAGATTCTCCACCGGATTCGGTGCTAACGTTAGCCGCTATTGTTTTTAGCACCAATGTTAGCGCAAACTTCGGTGTGTTTTTTATTGTTTGTTTTATTCGGTGAAACTCCACGGCCATGATTAATCTATGATCTGTTGTTTTTATATTTTGAGTGTCGTATTTTTCACTAACTCGATTAATGTTTTCAGTAAACCCATGCCATTGTTTGTCGGCTAAGTTGCATGGCTTGGGTCTATGCATACTTTCGGTATTGTAAAGGTAGTAGAGTTATTAATAAATGTTGTAAACAATAAGTAAAGTCAACTATCGCTAAAAGGCCCTTTATTGTAAATATAAAGCACCGGGTTTTATGGTAAAACCTCGTGTTATTTTTTTACTTTAAAACCAGGAAAGTCTTGAGAGCTTTAATAAAGAAAGCAACTGGACTTCTTTAGGTTTCTGAAGACGTTTAATCCAAGAGGCTTATTCAATTTTAAAAAGAAAAGGTGGGACATCCCAGGAATTTTCCCCTTTACGTGGTCCTGAGAGTCGTTAACCCACTATTAATAATGTGACTCATCGCATGAACCAAGGTGTGAGTAAAGGAGGGGGCCATTATCATCATCATGAGTTTGTTGATACCTGACATTCTAATTATATCAATAATGGTCGTTCACAGTGGGTGTAGATGGTCATAACCTCAATAGGTCACATGATGGAGTGGGCAAGAGTAGTTTTGCCCTTATCCCCCAGTGATGGAAATGACCCGCACTTTTTTTGACACTTTGGCTCATGATCAGTAGTCTGTCAACGGCTCTAAGGACCACCTCCAAAGGGGATGATCGCTAGTACGGGTTAAATACCTGGACATCCCACCATTTGTCTTTGCAAGCTCCTTTGACTTAGAACTGAAGAAGCCTCTTAAATGGAAGGTCTGGCTTCACAAACCCAAAGACAGTTTGTCCCTTTTTCAAGCTCTGAGAATTGAGAGGCTTCAAAGACATAAACTCTGCATTTTTGCCAAAGAAGACGATGATACAAGGATTTTTTATGAATGTCCTGACATTCAGCCTAAACAGCTTGATCAACCTGTGATTAATTTCTGTAGTAACTCTAATTTGTGACTTTTAATTTCAGATTCACGGCTGCGGTCCTGGTAAAGAGGTAATTCATCACATCTGAGTTCAACTTGCTGCTGAGGGTTCGAGAGAGACCTACCACAACTGTTTTGCCCCGCAGTGACGCTTCAGAGTCTCTCTGCTTTTCCTTTAGCCACCAGCATGGCTAACAGCACTGTGACAGTGGTTAAGGGTCTGCCACCAGGCCCTGCGGGTAGAAGTAGTCCAGAAGGCTCTCAGGTTAGTTAATTTTTTGCTTAGTAGTACCAAAGCCAGGATCTGTGTAATAACTTACTGACTTCACCTCTTAAAATGCAAAAGATTGAGAGTGTATTTTGTTTTACATGAAGATTCTTTCTTTTTCTTTGTTTTGTTTTTTTGGGGTTTTTTTTGTTGTTGTTTTTTACATGAAATATCATGAAAATATCAGTGCAAAACTTATGGCTCCTTGCTTTAAATGTGAGAAAACTGTGTTGTATTGTGTTTTTTCATTTTATTTTTTATCTCTTACTATCACTAAGGTATTATGCAGACCACACAACTGCACCCATTAGCTTTTGTTAAAGGATGATGGATGCATCTTCTTTTTTTCCCAGGTGCTAAGTAAGAAAAAGCTGCAGGACCTGGTGAGAGAGATTGACCCAAATGAGCAGCTGGATGAGGACGTTGAGGAGGTTTGTCAGTAGTTTAAATAAATTGTGCAAGATTTTTTTGATCTTCTCTGTATTGAATAACATTTACATATTTTTTCATCATCTGCAATTAAAACTTGGCTAATGCTGTTAACATGATGGTATCCAAGCTATAGTGAAACGGATGGTTTCTTCAGTTCGCTGTCTGGTTTTCAAAATCCCTGTTTTCTTCTCAGATGCTGCTACAAATTGCGGATGATTTTATAGAGAGTGTAGTGACGGCAGCCTGTCAGCTGGCACGCCACCGCAAGTCCAACACCTTGGAGGTGAAAGATGTTCAGTTACATCTAGGTAAGTTGCTTGTGACGTTTTTGAATGATTGGGTCATTCTTTATTTTGTCAGGTTGTACTGTGTGCCTTGAGCTCTCACAAAAAACGTAAGAATGTTTATTCTGCAGTTATTGGTTGGCAGCTGTTTACAGAAATATTATCAAGGCTTATATTTAATTCAGTGCTACATGCCTTATGAGAATTTGATTTGAATTATTTATTTGCTGCTATCATTTGTTGGCTATTTATATTCAAATTTTGTTGTTACTTTGAGAGCACAAGGTGATTTAGCAGACTTTATATGCATAAAAAACGTCTGGTATGAATTGATTTTTTTATCACTTAAATTATATTAATGATAAGAACTTAATTTAATATTTGTAGATGGTTTCAGATAAATGTTAGGTAAACTATGTGCTTTCTGTGATAAGTTTGAATATCACAGAGGGAGTTTAAATTATTTGCTGTAAAAGCCTTGAAAGAAAAAAAAAATAACATGTATATATCAATTTTTGAAAATGAGATGGAAATTAGATCTTTCCTTATAGACTGGGTTATTTGCCAGATATGATCACTTCGATATCAATATCTATTGTAAATCCCGATGAGCCTTTTAAAGTCTGTGGCCTGCTGCCATTGTGCATTGCTTTTCTCAGAGCGCCAGTGGAACATGTGGATTCCTGGTTATGGCTCAGATGAGATCCGGCCGTTCAAGAAGGCTTGTACCACAGAGGCCCACAAACAGGTGAGCGATTGCCTCTGCTGCACATGTTAGATTACTGTAAATGGTAGCATAACTGCTGATGTTATATTTGTCAGTATGGTTAATTTGGTTTGTATTATGATGAACACTGGGCCTAATTGTTTTCATTTATTCTCATTTCAGAGAATGGCGCTGATCCGCAAGACAACCAAAAAGTAGCACGACTAAGATGTACCTATTGTGGGTTTTTTTTTTTTTTTTTTTTTTTTTTTTTTTTTTTTTTTTTTTTT